ACTTGCTGCTTGCTGGGGCACAAGCTCTCGCCAGTGATGCCCTTACCATCCATCACTGTCTGCACTGGAATCACTTTGGTGTCTAGAGTGTCACAAAGCAAGTGCCTGAAAGCCTAATGACGAGATGATCTGTGGCTCCCCACCCAAAGTTCAACGGCCCAGACATGGAATGGGTGGTCTCTCCCCTGGGTATTCGCTCATGCCCTGCCTGCCATCCTCACCTGATGGTGACTCCCCAGGCACTCAGACCTGTGACGGCTCAGAAGGTGACTGGGCCAGAAACACAGGCACTCTGTTTTCCTCTTCAAGTTGGTCTTGATCACCAGCTGAGGATCCACAGCTCACAGGCTGTCCTGGCAACTCTTTGTGCCCAGAGGGGCTCCTCTGTGTTCTCTGCATTCGCCAGCACTGGTGCACAGCTGCTCCAGCACCTGCCAGCCTAGGGCCCTTTCTCAGCCAGGGTAAAGCCGGATGAGCCCCAGGCCTGATACAGCAGGCGACAGTGGTAGGGGATGGATCCATAGATCAGGCCTGTTTCACTTTCACACCTCAGCCAGTCCCCAGCTCCAGCCTCATTTCTGTGCCAGAATTAGAAACCTTTCCTCCCTGCCATGTTGGCACCTGCAGCCTTCTTGGGGGCTAAACCCATCCAGAGGTGTCCAGTGTGTTCCTGGGAGTCTGGTGGGCCAGGGCTGGGTCAGGTCTACTGCTCAAGCCAGGCAAGTTTGGCAGCGCTGCCCAGCATGTGCAAGACTCAGCCAGCAATGAACAGTGTGCCGTCACAAGCGGCTGTGGCCATGTCTACAAGCACTGCTCCTGTAACTTCGACAACTTTTCTGTTCTTTCACCTTAAAAGTCCATGTACCAGGCCCTCAGAAGGCATCATCTTTGACCCTTAAGACAATCTGCTAAATGGTCCATTTTACAGAATGCGGGCCACAGGTGAGAATATCAGACAAAATGGAGCCGCTTCAGGGGCTTCCTACCCAGCCCTATCCCCAGGAGGGTTAGGGACATGGGTGTGGGGAAGGGCTGGGGAGTAAATGGAAACAAGGTACCACTCTCTCCCAGGGATGAGATAGAGATTCAACCTCAGGCATGGCTGCTGAACTGAGATGGGAAACCTCTGACCACTCCTCTTATCTGATCTTTTATAATACCAATGCATCCTGAACATCCGCTGGTTTTGTTTATTTGGCTCCCTTAGTGGTCTGTCACCTTTCAAAGTAGACAGGAGACCTTACCTGAGCTGCTCCCAGCATCCCTTTCACCTCACCAGGCCCTCTCCTGAGTGGCAAGCGGTCCCTCTGCATGTCCTGTGGTGCTGGCTAAAACCCAGCCACACCTAGTGGCTCTCGAAGCTTCTAGGCAGCTCAGTCTTTCCTAGTCACCTTGTCCAGATATCGTTTTCTCCCGGAAACGTGAAAGGAGGGGAAAAGATGGTGTCCCCTTTCTTTGGAAGTCCGCCTGGGAAAGCAGACGTCCACTCCACTGCCCACCCAGATACATTCTGCCCCAGCTTCTAAGGAACGCATTGTTCTGAAGGTAACAACTCAGCCCCACCCTGGGAGACCTGTGTCACTTTCTAGCTGTTTTCAGGGCCTCCAGGGCACTATCCCAGCACACACATGCCCAGGGACCCTGCAGACCTGTGGGACAATTTTGGATTTGCTTTTGGTTAGAGGCAAGTGGATAAAATCCCGCAAAAAAAGAACAGAAAACAGGGCTGTGGGCACAGCAAAAACAAATGGGACCTCGCAGCGCCATCTCGTGGTCGCCATGAGAGATGCAACCTGGGCCAGAGGGTTTAGAGAACAATCCTGGTGGTTCTTCACCTCCATCAGATCCTCCAACTCCATAAGGCCCTCTACCTCCATCTGACTCTTCACAGTGAGCACAGCTGGGATTCTAAAGCAGGAAGACTGAGGCCCCAGGTGATGTCTGAATGTGAGAACTGCCAGGGACCCAGAATTCCAGCAGACAAAGGCCCATTGGCTTTGAGCCATGGGGCTGACTCCTTATACCTCTAAGGTTGTCCGAGTTCTCAGATCAGCAAAGGTCCTCCTTCCCATTCCCCACAGGAGGCAGCCAGATGGGTGTGGTTTAAATTACAGCTTCTCCTTTACTAGTTGTTTGACTCAGAGAATGTTGTACGTCTTCATTTCCTTGACTATACAGTGAGAATAATCAGGCATAGATTAGGAAGACATCTGCAAAGTATGTGCTCAGCCCTCCCACAATCTCCTCCTCTCCACAACAGGAAGACCCAAGGGCCCCCTCAGTCTATGAAGGGATCTTCTGAAGAGTTTCTATGGCCCTGGTATCTAGTCTTACAGGTTGTGTACTGCACAACTCTGGAGGTAACTTCTGCATTCAAGAACAGTGAACAACCTGTACAGACATCCAGAGGCCAGTTGGGGCCCTCCCTTTCCCTTTCTGTTTACATGTGTATTTAATTCATTGAGCCCTGCCAACAGAAAGAGCCTAGGATTGGAGGCTTTAAGCTACAAGCAATGTGCAGACCAAAAATATTTCTACACAGCATCCAAGAAACAATGTCATCCTAAAGCCTTTCAAATGAAGTAATGTGAGCACATGTGCACACTCACATACACAAGGGTACATTTTTATTTTTCTCTCCCTCCCTTTCTCTTGAGACCTTCCTAAGTTTACTACATGTGGTATTCACAGGGATTTTTTTCTGATGAATTGGGACTACTTGAGGGCAAGGACTTCATCCTTTTTGTCTTCCTAAGGTCACCATAAAAACTGGAATTCAGTAATAATTTCTTGGGTAGATGGATGGATGAATGAATAGGTAGTTGAGTGGATGAGTGGATGTGTAGATGGATGACTGAATGGTTGGGTGGATGGATGGATGAATGATTGAGTGGGTGGGTAGTTGGATAAATGGATGGATAGATGGATTAGTGGTAAGGTGGATGAGTAGGTGAGTCGATGGATGAGTGGGCAGAGAGTGGATAGGTGGATGGGTGGATGATTGAGTGGGTGGGTAGTTGAATGGATGGATGGATGGATGGGTGGTTAAGTGGATGAGTGGGTGAGTAGATGGATGAGTGAATGGGAAGATGATGGATAGATGGATGAATGGTTGAGTAGATGGGTGGATGGGTGGTTTAGTGGTTGAATGGATGGGTTTATAGATGGTTGAGTGGATGGATGAACAGGTAGAGGATAAATGAATGACTGCTTGAGTGGATGGGTAGCTGGATAAATGAATGAATGGGTAGAAGAATGGCTGAGTGAATTGAAAGTTGAGTGGGAGGATGGATGCATGAATATATAGATGTATAGATAGATGAACGAATGGGTGGGTGAATGAATAGATGTATAGTTGATATAGGTGGATAGATGGATGGATGGATGGTTAAGTGGATGGATGCCTGAGTGAATGAATGAATGGGAGGATGGGAACACCTCACAGCACACATGCACTCATCCCTCTCAGGCTTGCCATGGGTCTCATTATTTACTGATTTAGTGTCTCCCTGCTCCATGAGACCATGTACTCTTTGAGGGCAGGGCCCCATCTGTCTCTCACTATTTTTTTCTAAGGGCACTGAACTCAGGGCCTTGGTGTGCTCAGGAAGCAATTGTTAAAGAAGAGACTGGGACGAGAGAGGTAAGAAGAGGAGAACACATTTTCAATATTATAAAACATACAAAGGAGTTGTTATGGCATACCTATTGAGATGACATGGAAACTGTAGGTGAAGTTTGAAAGATGAACTTTTAAGAGACAAGTTAACAAACTCTAAGAGTCTTACAGTCACGGGGCTTAGCACCTGGGTTTATTGAATGTGTCATATCTTTTTCATAAAGGCAATGGAAGGCTGACATCATCATGGAGGAGAGTGACTCAAGAAAAACCAGAGATGCATACCTGTTCTCCCCAGAGTGCCCAGCACAGCCCCAGCCCACAGCAGACACTCAATGAGAATGTGATGCAAATCAGACTGAATACAGTCTTCAGCACAGCTAGTCACATTCCAGTGTCATGTGCAATTTGTTATATTTACCCAAAATTGATTATCCCCATGTATTACACATTGCAATTCTTTCTTAACTCTGAGCCTATCCAATCAATCAAAATACTCCTTCCACAAATGTTCCACATGAATGGCAGTTAATTATATACAACAAAATAAATCTCATGCGGTAAGATCCAAGACCATGAAAGTCTGAGTTCATTAGGAGAAAATACTATACTTTCAGGTATTGGCTACCTAATACAAGTCTAATTTGTCTGAAATGAAGTACAAAGCAGTATCTTTTAGCATGGCGTAATGGAGAAAATTCTAGACTAAAATATTTAAATTCTAGATCTGTTTCCTCATTAATTCATTTTGTGAACTTAAGTAAGTAACTCACCCACTCTTCTCTGGTTTCTCATCGTGTAATGGGCAAATTGTTCCTCTTCCTGTGGTAGGGTTATTTGAGAATACGGCTGTGAAAATGCTTGGAAAAATGTAAATGAATGATGTATATGTATCATCTTATTTCTACTTATTACAAAATTTTTCATATTATACAATAACTTTTGGGTCACTAAATAAAAACAATATCCTGATATGCAGGAGAAAAGCTAAAGAGCATATACACCTATTAAAAATAACACTAGTTAGCCAGCCAGGTGGCATGATGGTTCAGGCGGCTGGATCCCACATAGACACCTGAGTAGTTTGAGTCCCAGACCTGGTGGCTTGAGAAACACGCCAGGCATGTATGCATGTGAAATCCCAAGAGGAGAATGGAGAAGAGATTGTGGTGTGGCCATCCCCACCTTCCTAGGAGAGTGATTTCTCACTTTCTCTCTTTCTCTCTCTCTCTCTCTCTTCTCTCTTTCTCACTGTGGGTCTCTCTCCAGATAGTGCTTCTGCCCTATAGCAAACTAAAACCAGCAAAACAGTAGCAATATATTTGTAAGATGGACCAATTTTATAAGAATTTTAAGAGCCCAGTATTTCTAATGTGTCTTTGGAAACATGAAATGTAATGTAATAGAGTCTGTTGGGTGACAGCTGTCTGTGATGAGCAAGCCCAGGGGAGTCACATGGACCAGTTTGGACAGTCAAAGTTTGAGAGGTCTGGGGTTGTGGAGGTGGCCTGGGTAATGGCAGGGCTTCTTTGTGCTGGATTTGAGGAGTGTGTCTGGACTTGGGGCACCCCAGCCCACTGTGCACACATCACAAGTAGCCCTGTCATCTGCCTGGGGTGTTGGCTGTCTGGGGCCTCCTGGGTCAGGAGGAGGCTGTCGTGGTCATCTGTGGGGCTGGCACCAAGCACTGCACAGGCTGGACTCTTGTTACACTATGATGAATTAAGAACCAAGCTTGACTCACGGCGACCTGTATGGGAAAGGAGGTCATCTGGGTCAGTTTGTAGGAAAGAAGAAGCTAACACAGGAAAACCCCAGTATGGGCAATGGGGTGGCCAACACCAGGACACAACTGCCATGCTCACTACATGGAGACAATTACCCTAGAATAAAATGCGCAGAGAAATGGCAGCTATGTGACTGTGGTCTGGTCACAGGTGAGCAGAGCTTCCAACTCATCAGCTGGTGGGTGTGACTGATCACACTCAGGGCCTTCATGCCTTTGTGCTACCTGCAGAGACCCCACTGGGGCCCTGAGCTCAGCTCTCAGTGGAGCTGCACTGAGAGATGTCATCCTGGAAGAGGGTGAGTGGGTTGGTTGATATTTTCCAAAGAGAAGATTTTTGCAAGAACTTTAGAATTAGGATAGGTGTCACTTCAGAAGACAGAAGCCCCAAGAGAATAAGGAAAGAGGAGAGTTCCATTTTCCCTTGATATTTTAACTTCAAGAAGGGGAAAATGATCCAGCACCAATCCACCGGTTCCCTTAGGAACTTCATGGGACAAATGCTGGCTTCAGTATTGGGATTCATGTTTTAAATATTCAGTAAAATTTACTGAAATCTCTACAGCTCTATCCAGGGAGGAGCTTGGCCTCTGGCACTGGCTTTGCCTACGCTGCAAGTGCTCCAAGCTGCTAGGATGGTATGCATATTAGCTACCAGGTGTCCAGGAAAGGGGGTGAGGTAAAGTCAACACTAGCATCCCTCTCCCATCTGCAGGGTCAGCCCATGAGCAGGTGGCATTGTCTCTGACAAAGTTACCGGCAAGGGCAGTGTGGAGATGTCTTTTAGAGAAGTATGCTGCACCCTGTTCTGCTGCGTGACTTGGAGCATTTTCTTAAGTTCTCTGGGCTCACTGCCTTCATTTTAGAGTTTATTTATTTCTACATTTGTACTGTGAACAGGAAAGAGGGAGACAGGCATCTCTGACAGTGTCTTGATGCTGCAATCCATTCCCAGGCTCAGCTAGCCCCAGATCATGGGCATACATGTGTCTGGCACACTCACGGAGGTCTCTAGACATGAACCCAGAATCTTCCCAGACTGGTCAGCCTCGTACAGTGTCATGTTTCTATTGCTGTGCCACTAACTGGCCCCAATTTCCACATTTTGAGAATGAGGCTGGTGTCTACTGGGTTTTTTCAAAGATCTATGTCTCCAGAGAACAAAGAACCGAGCACAGGGAAAGTGACCATGTCTGGGGAGGCCACCTGCCTCAACAAGGAGGAGTGCCTTGGCAGGTCATCATGGGGCAGGTCAACATTGACAGTATCTCCCAAGGGGATGGAATGCAATAGAGTCAGTGAGAGGGAGGGTCTCCATGACCCAAACCTTGTGGGCCGCAAATCAGAAACTTCCAAAACTACCATGCAGAGAAAGCTTATTTCTTTTCCTTCCTTCCTTCCTTCCTTCCTTCCTTCCTTTTTCTTTTTCTTTTTTTGGTATAAGCACTTGCTAGAGAGCTGGAGAGAGACAGAGAAAGGGGGACAGGAATGTGAGAAAGCACTCCCTAGGGGGAATGGCTGTATTACAATCCCTTCTCAGTTCTCCTCTTGGGATTTTTCAGCACACATGCACTCGTGCCCAGAGTGTTTTCCAAGCCTGAGGGTCTAGGACTCAAACCACGCTGTTGGCCATATGAGATCTCAACCACCATGCCACTAATTTATTATTTAGTTATTACTAGAGTGTAAAGGTGAATTAAGACTCTACTGCTGGTCCTCCCAACCCCTGCCCACTGGAAACCCTGGGAGGAGTCTGAGGACCTGGACCAGAATCAGCAGCGTCTACCTTCCTGGGATGTCCCTGTTAGTGGGGCCCTGGTGCCTGCTGCAAGAATCATGGATCCCCTTATAGAACCATCCAAATTCAAATTCTCTGGTTTCCAATGAACCAGAGAGCCAATGGGTACATTCTAAGCATACACCAGCCACGCGCATACTTGCTTCGGAAAAGGCACACAACACAGCATCTGAGGGCCAGCCCTGTGGCCTAGTGGTTAAGAGAGCTAGATATCACATAGCTGATCGTGGCTCAGATTCCTGCCTTGGCAGCTTGGAAAACATGCCAGGCACGTGCATGCATGTCCCAAATGCTGACAGAATGGAGAAGTGGAGAAGAGATGGTGTGTGATCATGCTCATTTGGGGTGCTTTCTTTCCCTCTGTCTTTGCAGAACACACGTGTCCTCTGGCAATTAAAAATAATAATAATAATGTGTGCTGAATTGAGCTGACTTTGACAGGAAGTCATCTGCTTCTGCAAGAGACCAGGGTTCCAAGGCTAAATTAAAGGAATGCACTTCAAAGGAGGAAAAGTCTCTCCCCCATGCTGCAGCCTCCTCAGCTAATGAGAATGTGAAGTGATAGGTTTGGCTACGGCTACAGACTCCAACGCTGGGAAGGGAGTTCCAGGGGCTTGTTCCATCTCAGACCCAGACAGCCAATACCAGGTCCTTGGGAGAGGGGCCAAAATGCACCCCAGTGCCAGCCACACTCAGTGCAGCCCCCACAAGTCAAGCTGTTGAGAAATCTATTGTTTTCTCCATTTGAAGCTATAACATGGCTCCTTTTACAAAAAGATTTTTCCAAGATCAGGGAGAAAACAAAAATAAATAAATAAACCCACATCATCTACTGCATGAAAATTAAATGAGGACATTCATTGAGAGACTCATTCCGTTCTGCCTTCTGAGTTCCCAATGCCTTACAGAGAAGGGTGAGACAAATGAGAGTGCCCAGGCGAGGGCACGGAGCCGTGCCCCAGGACAGCCGGGGCAGGGTAGGTCGTGGGCTCCTGAACTGACACATGGGGGAGCATCCGGAGGCAGCAATCACACAGCACTGCCAAACACGGCCTGCGAGTGCTTCACTTTTCTTCTTTTTTTCATCTCGAAATCTTTATAAAATTGTTAGTGTTGGTGTCTTCCACTACAGGTTTACACTCCAAAATGTGTGCCATTTGTTTATGGTAAATCATATTCAGATCCCCTCATAAAAGTCCACGTGACAAATCAGAAAAGCATCTTCATACTTAAAGGTCTGGACATGTAGACCGTTGATGTGGCTGGGACAGGGACGTTGTGGTTCCCGTGAGCACAGTTTTCAAGGCCACATAGCTGAGAACAGTCACTGCAATCACTCAGTGTTCGAGTGCCCAGTGTCATGAGAGGGTCTTTCCTGCCTTTCCTGGTTCAATTCTCACTCCTCTGTGAGGTTGGACCTGCTAGTGCACACTTTCTTTTGCAAACGAGGAAACTCCCCAGGCCCACCCAGTGGGAGGGTAGCCAAGCTGGATTTGGAGGTCCTGGTCTCACTCTCCTCCACATTGTGCTGCCTCCAGTCCCAGGATGTGGATGGTTGTGTCAGTTGACAGCTCCCTATCGCTGCTCTGCCAGCTGTCCATTTCCCCTCTCTAGTTGCTCCTTTTTCAGGAGATGAAGCCTCTCTGCCAGTCAGGGGCCAGGAGACACGGACATACTCAAATGCACCCTTTACCCAAACCCGCTCTGCCATCAGCACATCCCAGTGGCCTGGAGGGACATCTGCATTAGCTGCTCTCACTCCCGACCTACCTTTCAGTCAGCCATGGAGCTCTACTCATGGAACACCTGGTAGCTGATGTTCCCGGACTGGATCTTGAAGTTGTACTTGCCCATCATTTTCTGGTAGCGCACCACTAGAAGGGCAGCTGCCCCTGCCACCACAGTGAAGATAGCCACTGCAATGAAGGCCACAAAGCCAGCTCCCAGGCCTGGTCCTGCAGCCAGAGCCCCATCTGCAGGGATAAGGCAGGGACAAAGGTGAGAGATCCACTCAGCCCAGACTGGAAGGTCATGGCAAGGGTTGAGGGGCCCCGAACAGAGCAAGCTCTCCCCACATGCTCACTGCCTTCTGACCTGCTGATCTGGATGTGACTGATGAGCAGCACATGGAAGTGGGACCTACATGTGTGCCCATGTCCCTGTGGGTCACCAGAGATGGCTAGGCAGATGTCCAGAGCTCAAGAAAACACAGCATTAAGAACAGCTTATCCTGACTAGCATCCTGGGGTGAGTCTTGGCCAAGAAGGTGAGGCTGTGTCTCTTCTTCATGCTGATTTCCAGGGAGTTTGTTCAAAGTGGAAGCCGCTCTGGGTCTCCCAGGGTGTAGCACAAATAGCCACGATGTTTAACAGAGCACCAGGGGCACCCTCTGGGGTGCTTGGACTGCAAGGCGGCTGGAACTGGCTAAATCTCTCTTCCAGAAATAGGTACACATTGAGCCAGGGAGCCTCCTTCCAGATGGAGCAGCTGCAGCCTCCAAAGGAACCTGAGGCCCCCAGACCCTAGGCAACCCCGGACCACCCGAAACATAACTTCTGCACAGCTGACCCCCAAATCCAGCTTCTGGATGGAGCCACAGTGGGCCTCCCCTTCCTCCTGTGCCTCAGTGAGGGGCCATCTTGCCAACACAAGGGGAGTGCCCTCACTGAGGATGCAGGAGTAGAAAGATGAAAGAAGCCAGGTCTCAGCTGGTATTATGGACCCCAGCATCAGTCCAGACTGACAGACCCAGAAAAAGAGATCCCTGCCAGTTTCTCATTGCTCCAGCTGTGTTTCTGCTACCTACCGCTGAAGGCTCCTAACTGACCTGCTAATTCAGGGCTGCTCAGAACGGGGTCTGTATCTGGAGCTCGACTGCCTGGTTACCACAGTCCGGGAATACTGATTGGTCCATGGTAAGGATGTTAGAAATAGAAAGCATACTCAGAAATGTTGGCCACAGGTCAACGTATACCCCCTGTGGCTGTGGCCCATCAAACAGGGCATCTTCCTGCTCAGATGAGGCTCCAGTCTGTGATGTGTGGAAAATCAACTGGCCCTTCTTCATAGCACTTGGGCAGCACACAGAAAGTGTCCCTTTGCAGACCCTGAGCAACAGCTTTGTCAAGGGTGACATGCCCCAGTGATGGAGAGTGATGAAGAGCCTCTTACACACTCACAGCTCAGTGGAAATAGGCCCTGCCAGAGGTCCAAGTCTAGCCCAGCCACTGGCTGGGGATCCAGCCTTTTCACCTCTGAGAAGCCTCAATAATTGCTCCAGACCTTCCTACTGGGGCATTTCATTGATATGAGCCTCAATTTTTTTCTGTCTCTTTGCACAAAGACACTCTAGTGAGTGTGACGTACGTGGATCATCTAGAAATACAATGGCCAGAGGAAACTTCCAAAAACTAAATGTAGAAATGATGATGCCGAGACACTACTTGTTGGTAGCACACATTCAGGAAAGATGCCCAAATGAGCTTTTTTAAAATGCCAGTACACAGTGTTATATGGTGAATTGTGTCCCCTCCCTGCAAAAAAAGGAGATATTGCAGTCTTAGCCCTCAGCTCTGCAGAACATGACCTTACTTGAAAGCAGAATCATGCTAGATGCCATTAGTGAAGATGATGTCGTACTGAACTAGGGTGGTTCCTGATGCAGTATGACTGGTGTTCTTATAAAAAGAAAGCCATGTGGACAAAGAGACACAGACAGGAAGAGGGCCCTGTGCAGATGGGGCAGAGACTGGAGTGATGAGACCACAAGCCAAGGAACCTCAAGGAATGGCTGTAACCAGCAGAAGCTGGAAGGGGGAAGGGATGACTCTCTCCTGCGGTCATCAGAAGCACAGCCAATACCTGATCTCAGATTTCTGTCCCCTAGAACTGGGAGAGAAACCTTTGTGTGGTAAGCCACCTGTTGGTGGTACTTTTGGGGACACTAAGCTCCATGGTATGAGGGCTGAAGCGAAGTGAGGCTTTTGAACAAAGCCAGCCCAGCCCCTGAAGACAGACGTGGGCATGGATTGTGAACATGCATCTGCACACAGAAGCCCAGCTTGCCCAAGTACCAGCAGAGAGAGTTCAGACATGTTCCCTAAGACCTCCAAGGTTCTTATTTCTTCCCCAAAGTGGTGTGATGGCAGGGATATCGGGTAGCACATCGGCAGGGGACAGAGGTGATGTCCTGAAGGAGCTTGTCTACCAGCCTCTCCTCACCCCTGCAGTTTCCAGCAGAGCTTCTGCTAATATGCATGACTAGAACCTACTAAATCCCTACCGATGTAGAAATTCCATGTGTCTAAATGAATTTTCTGTATATTTCTATGACAGTTATGAACCAAACGAGAGCAAATATTGCTACAATGAGACAGAATGATGAACAAAATGAGTAATTATGGTCATTGTTCTTGACCCTGACCATGTACGTTGTGCTGTACCACTGGTGAACAATGACTAACACGTGTCTGGTAGCTTCTATGGGTCAGACTCTGTATGGAATTATTATTGGCATTTCAAGGAAAAGTGTTACCCAATGTAGAATGTTTTGTGCCAGAAGTCACAAAATTATCGTTAAGTTCAGAGTTAGATTTTTAATCCAGGAAACCTAGTTTCAGGTTCAGCAATCTTAGCTTACAAAGGATTCTTAATTACTGTAACTGCACTGGGCACTCACAACAACTTTCTGAGGTAGGCAAGATGATTCTTATAACTAGCAATTTAAGAAAATGATGAGTGTGAGGAAGTATGTTGTACCGTGCTGGTCTAGGACCTCAGCCTCCTGAGGACCAGCACAGGGCCTGGGCCCAGCTCGAGATTCTGTTAGAAGGCAGAGGATCTGTTCTGGGACCCTTGTCTGTGTTTTTAGTTTACCAGTGTTTTGGATGAGAGCCAACAGTTGAGAATCACCGGCCAGACCTCTCTCTTTCTGCTTCCTCAGACTCCTCAAGTGCTAAGCAGCACTCCTAGCTCAACCCCAAACCCGGAAGTTCTTGTGCAGAAAAATATAGAGAACCAAGGAGGGTCACCAAGTTAGGAACAAAAACAACAAAAAAAGAAAACCAACTAGGATTAGGTTCAGCGGCACAAAAGAGAAAAATCAGAATAGAGTGGCTTAAAGATAATGGAAGTTTATTTCTTTCTGACATAAGAATTGGGGGTCAGAGGCCTGGCCTGTCTGGCAGCTTCTCCCGGTGTCCTCGCAGCCCTGCTTCTCCCAGCACACTCTGCCCCGGTCCTCGTGGTCCGAGGTGCTAGCTGGCCATGTCTTCTGCATGCCAGGCAGCCGGAGGGGGGCAACAGAGAAGAAAGGGACACAGGATGGACGCCAATTGTTTTTAAGGAGGGTATCCGTCTACAAGTTGTCACATGACTTTCTCATTTATATCTCATTGTCTAGAAGAGCTTCCCCAGAGGGGCACACCGAACTGCCAGGGAAGTTGGAGATTTTAGTTCTTATTCCCAGCAGCCAGGTGCCCGCTAAAAACTGGAGCTCTATGACTAGTGGGGGAAAGAGAATAAATGCTGGAGAACAATCAGCAGTTTTTCTCTTAATACCCAAAGTACACAATCTCTCCAAACCAATTTTTAGAAAATGATAGGATGGATCACATAGGAAATAAAATGTTTTCCTAGAAATTTAATTTTGAGTTTTGCAAATACTTGGAATGTAATCAGTGGATGGACGTTTTATATGAGGAAAAACAGTGATGTCAGTATTGTGTATCTTTTTATTTATTTATTTATTTATTTGCTACAGGGCGCGTGTGCTCACCAGACAGAGAGAGACAGAGAGATAGAAAGCGAGAAATCACCCCCCAGGGGGGATGGCCACACTGCAATCCCTTCTCCTCCATTCTCCTCTCTGGATATTGGGCATGCATGCACACGCACCCGGCGTGAGTTTAAGCCACCTAGTCCAGGACCTGAACTGTAGTCAATTACATGGGCGCTCGTGACATAGCCACTAGGCTAAATGCTGGTCCCAGTATTGTGTATCTTCTGAAAAAATCATTTTGTCATGTGTGGCCACACTGCCTACACATGCACACACACACACACACACAGAGAGAGAGAGAGAGAATTTGACACTGCCTAGTTAGAGCAAGCTGCACTTTCTTCCTCTTAGTAACCCACTCAGCGTATTTACTCAGTGTCAGAAAATTTCAGCAGCTTCATATTATGCAATTTAAAGCATTACATTATTTCAATGTGATTGACCTCCAGAAGTCTCAGTCTTTTGATCTGTAGCTCAGAAATAATATTAATTCCTACTTCATAGGACTCCTGGGAGGAGCGAATTACATTCTGCATGTGAAGAACTTGAAACAAGGCCGGCATGTGTGTGTGTGTGTGGGGGGGTGGTCTCAATAGAAGGCAGAGGATCTGTTCTGGGACCCTTGTCTGTGTTTTTAGTTTACCAGTGTTTTGGATGAGAGCCAACAGTTGAGAATCACCGGCCAGACCTCTCTCTTTCTGCTTCCTCAGACTCCTCAAGTGCTAAGCAGCACTCCTAGCTCAACCCCAAACCCGGAAGTTCTTGTGCAGAAAAATATAGAGAACCAAGGAGGGTCACCAAGTTAGGAACAAAAACAACAAAAAAAGAAAACCAACTAGGATTAGGTTCAGCGGCACAAAAGAGAAAAATCAGAATAGAGTGGCTTAAAGATAATGGAAGTTTATTTCTTTCTGACATAAGAATTGGGGGTCAGAGGCCTGGCCTGTCTGGCAGCTTCTCCCGGTGTCCTCGCAGCCCTGCTTCTCCCAGCACACTCTGCCCCGGTCCTCGTGGTCCGAGGTGCTAGCTGGCCATGTCTTCTGCATGCCAGGCAGCCGGAGGGGGGCAACAGAGAAGAAAGGGACACAGGATGGCCGCCAATTGTTTTTAAGGAGGGGATCCGTCTACAAGTTGTCACATGACAAGTTGTCACATGACTTTCTCATTTATATCTCATTGTCTAGAAGAGCTTCCCCAGAGGGGCACACCGAACTGCCAGGGAAGTTGGAGATTTTAGTTCTTATTCCCAGCAGCCAGGTGCCCGCTAAAAACTGGAGCTCTATGACTAGTGGGGGAAAGAGAATAAATGCTGGAGAACAATCAGCAGTTTTTCTCTTAATACCCAAAGTACACAATCTCTCCAAACCAATTTTTAGAAAATGATAGGATGGATCACATAGGAAATAAAATGTTTTCCTAGAAATTTAATTTTGAGTTTTGCAAATACTTGGAATGTAATCAGTGGATGGACGTTTTATATGAGGAAAAACAGTGATGTCAGTATTGTGTATCTTTTTATTTATTTATTTATTTATTTGCTACAGGGCGCGTGTGCTCACCAGACAGAGAGAGACAGAGAGATAGAAAGCGAGAAATCACCCCCCAGGGGGGATGGCCACACTGCAATCCCTTCTCCTCCATTCTCCTCTCTGGATATTGGGCATGCATGCACACGCACCCGGCGTGAGTTTAAGCCACCTAGTCCAGGACCTGAACTGTAGTCAATTACATGGGCGCTCGTGACATAGCCACTAGGCTAAATGCTGGTCCCAGTATTGTGTATCTTCTGAAAAAATCATTTTGTCATGTGTGGCCACACTGCCTACACATGCACACACACACACACACACAGAGAGAGAGAGAGAGAATTTGACACTGCCTAGTTAGAGCAAGCTGCACTTTCTTCCTCTTAGTAACCCACTCAGCGTATTTACTCAGTGTCAGAAAATTTCAGCAGCTTCATATTATGCAATTTAAAGCATTACATTATTTCAATGTGATTGACCTCCAGAAGTCTCAGTCTTTTGATCTGTAGCTCAGAAATAATATTAATTCCTACTTCATAGGACTCCTGGGAGGAGCGAATTACATTCTGCATGTGAAGAACTTGAAACAAGGCCGGCATGTGTGTGTGTGTGTGGGGGGGTGGTCTCAATGTATATTGTTAACTATGAGTCCTTTTTTTTTGAGAGGTTTTTGCTATAGGGCGTGTGCACTCACCAGATAGACAGAGAGACAGAAAGCAAGAAGTCACCCCCCAGGGAGGATGGCCACACCACAATCCCTTCTCTTCCATTCTCCTCTTGGGATCTTGGGCACGCACGCACACACACACTCCCAGCATGAGTTTTAAGCCACCGGGTCCGGGACGTAAACCGCGGTCGACTATGTGGGAGTCCAGTGACATAGCCATTACGCTAACTGCCAGTCCCTCAAGTACTATGAGTCTTTGGAGAAACTCTCACACACACACACACACACAGAGAGAGAGAGAGAGAATTTGACACTGCCTAGTTAGAGCAAGCTGCACTTTCTTCCTCTTAGTAACCCACTCAGCGTATTTACTCAGTGTCAGAAAATTTCAGCAGCTTCATATTATGCAATTTAAAGCATTACATTATTTCAATGTGATTGACCTCCAGAAGTCTCAGTCTTTTGATCTGTAGCTCAGAAATAATATTAATTCCTACTTCATAGGACTCCTGGGAGGAGCGAATTACATTCTGCATGTGAAGAACTTGAAACAAGGCCGGCATGTGTGTGTGTGTGTGGGGGGGTGGTCTCAATGTATATTGTTAACTATGAGTCCTTTTTTTTTGAGAGGTTTTTGCTATAGGGCGTGTGCACTCACCAGATAGACAGAGAGACAGAAAGCAAGAAGTCACCCCCCAGGGAGGATGGCCACACCACAATCCCTTCTCTTCCATTCTCCTCTTGGGATCTTGGGCACGCACGCACACACACACTCCCAGCATGAGTTTTAAGCCACCGGGTCCGGGACGTAAACCGCGGTCGACTATGTGGGAGTCCAGTGACATAGCCATTACGCTAACTGCCAGTCCCTCAAGTACTATGAGTCTTTGGAGAAACTCTGAAGAGTTCCATAGTTTGGGATGCTGCCTTTTGGCTCACACACAGGTGAAATGGCACTGGCTGCATCTTGCCGCAAGTGTCTGGTTCAAGTCCTCAACTTACCTTCAGACCGAAAGAGGGGCCCCCAGGACGTTTGGTGTGTGGAAGAGGTTACACTGCTTCTCAGCCACCGGAAATTATTACAGTTCTGCGTTTTAACAGGAGAGAAACTTGAACTTAGTTAAACATTGTTTATGGGAGATTAACTCATTACCAAGGGCAATCCTCTAATTCAGACCATTTTTTTTCCTGCTGGGGTATCAAGACACTCCAGGAGGGACAGTTTAGGCAGCACAGGAGAGCTGGTAAGCCTTGATCGCCTGGCTCTGCTCCGGGAAGAAGAAGAGGCCTGAGCATCAGGAGGCTGGAGGAAGTGGGATGCTCAGAAATGGTGAAATGAAGAAGCCCTTGAGCTGCTTTTGGTTACTGAGCTGATCCCTTTGGTACCTCAGAGAGTATCTCAGTCCTGGGGCCCTCTTCATATCAAAGCTCTCTGTAGTCACTGGATCCTTTAAAGGTCCTTGCCTTGTAAAGAAGGCTGTCTGCTCAGAGACATTGTGGAACCTGCTCTCTCTACTTGTGGCAAGTTGGCATTATGTCCTCCAAAAGGAATGCAGAAATCCTAACCCCTGGTACCTATGAATGGAACGTTATTGGAAATGAGGCTTTGCAGATGATCAAAATGAGTTCATGAATGTGGTCCTTTCCAGTATATCTGGTGTTCTTATGTAAAGGGGATACTTGAATATAGAGACTTGCACAGAGGGAAGACAATGTGAAGAGACAGGGAAAACAGCATCTGTGAGCCAAGGCATGCCTGAGGCTACCAGAAGCTGGAGAGAGGCCTGGAGCAGATGCTTCCCCCATAGTCCTCAGAGGGAACCAACCCACCAGTACCTTGATCTTAGACTTCTACCCTCCAGAACTGTGAGGCAGTAGGTGTCTTATTTAAGAAGCACAGTCCATGATACTTTGTTACGGCAGCCCCAGGGGATGAATACAATGCCCACCCTAAAGGAGCATGGAAGAAGCAAGCTCATATTGTATAGAACCGAGACCCCAGCTCCCTGCAGAGATGAAGCATGGCTCCAGCTACTCTCACTACTTCTGAGATCCAGTGGAACCAGGAATGGATGCGTGCACCTCTCTGCGGCTGCCACTGGGAGGCCTCTGTTCCTCTCATCTCCCTGTTCAGGAAGATCTAAGTCAGTACCATTGTGTCTTCTTGTCCTACTGACACTCGGAGTGACAGAACTACAGAACTCTGCGTCACTCACTCAGATGAGCACAGCAACAAACACAGTCTCCAAGGAACAATCTCTCAGTCACTGAACCAAAGGCCAGGAGTGTTCTCTAAGCTATCCTCCACCACAGTCAGAGAGACAAAGAGCATGGCCACTCCTTGTGCTTGGCCATAGTACGGACAGCAGCTTTCAAACCTTGACATTACAAATTCATTTAAAATCTGAAGGTCTAAAAGAATGAGAATGTGAAGTTCAGCATAATCACTTCGTGAATGTTGAACAAAGGGAAGGAAAAGAGCTTATTAAATATCATAGAAGCTAATATTTGGTAGAGTTACATCAATGTTGATCAAAATCACATGAACTTAATATAACAGTTTTATAGCTAAACATTCCTACATTGCCTTATCAAGAAGCACTAGGGCATCGTGACAAGGTGGTACTAAGCACACAGCCAACGGAATGGAATGGCCTTGGGAAGGACTCAGTGCAGCCATCGGTAAATCCAGGATGCCTCACCAACTCACACCAGCCCTGCACTGAGGGCTGCCCACTGTCAAAACATCATTTCAGGCGCTAGATGGTGGCATAGTGGTTATGCAACTGGACCTACATGGGAAGGGCCTGGGTTTGCATCCCAGGACCTGAGCACATTGGGCACACATATGCCTGTGACCCCAGGCTAAGATTTGGAATGGATTGTGGTGTGAGAACCCTGCTTGGATGCCTGTCCTTTTTTCCCTCTCTCTTTCTGTCTTTTATAGAAATAAGCTAATAGATAAACTTTAAAAATTTTTACAAACATCATTTTGGGTGCCAAGTCAACAAGGCCCAGAGTCTGCTCCCAGAAGTTGGCTCTAGAGTCACTGAGCCCTGGGTTTTACTGATAGATACATGCCCCATAACAGTGAGGATGTGAATCCAGCTCCGAGTTTGGAAAAGCACAGCACTTACTATTTTGCACGTGGCTCCAGGGGATTCCATGCAAACGCGAAGTTTGCAGTGCAGGTAGACTATGGAGTTGTTGATGAAGGAGAAGATTTTCAGCTTAAACTGGGCCTTACTGGAGTTGCCGTTCTCGATCACATTGGTGTACGTGTTGGGAACCGGGCAGCTAGGACAAGAGGAAAGGTGACTCCATGGTTATAAGCCTTGTTCTCAGAGGCATTTACCTGCAACTGTCAGGCCTAGCACAAAGCATGTGCAGGCTCCTTGGGAGAAGGAGAACCGCTGCCTCACCAACTCCTCATACCCAGGTTCATCTCAGAGTTTGTCTGGAAATCCCAGAAAGTCCAAGGCAGGCAGCGCAGAAAGCGAGGTAATGTGTCCAGCACTTGCCTGGGCTCCTACCTGTTGTTAATGAAGCCAAAGGAGACCGGGTCCCTGGCGTTGCTGGATGGCGTGGCCCAGCACTCGGTGAGGACCACCTTCAGGTTGCTCTTCTGCTTGTAGAGGCCGACTTCAATCTTGACGTCATCACTGGCTGACACGCTGTAATTCTGAGGTATAGGAGAGTCCCCGATGAACAGCTGCATTTCTGTGACAAAGTTTCCAGCGCCATGGAGGTCCTCGATGATGGCGTAAACCCTGCAGGAGGCAGAGACTTCAAGGGTGCAGTCATATGTGACTAGGACCTCTCATCCCTCGCTCCCCTAAGTATGGCATGAGGGAAGTATGGAAATAAATGGAGCCTACCATGTGGGAATAAACGGAACTGTGAACCCAGAGCCGGCCCTGGCTGGGGTGCTTGACAGAGCCCCAGAGGCAGGTGGGCAGGAGTGGCTTGCATCAGAAATGAAGGGCAAGCTAATGGGCCTGACAGAGACTGTCGGGGGCAGAAAGCAGCAGAGGCCACTAGGTGTGGGAGTAGGGGTGCAAATTTGGCTTTCTTGGGTTATCCTAATTGGACAGATTAGAGAAGCTGGCAGTTACTGATTAAAAAAAAAAATACATTGTCCATTTGCACATTCAGCCTCAAAGAAGGGTCCTCAAATAATGAAAACCTTTTACAACACTCAAGACAAATGTACTAGGGAGGAGTGAGCAGAGGCAAGGTGAGGGTGCTTCCCCACTTACCCCCACTTCGGGGTATAACCCGAGGAGGTGAGGAGGTCATTCTGGAAGGCACAGTGAATGGGGCTCAGGATCTTCAGGTAGTGGATGATGCCCTCTGGGGACAGGTCATTCCTCAGCGTGGTCTTCACCACTGTGTTCGTCGTGTTCTAAGCACAAACAGGTGTGTGAGTGGGCACCCAAGCCTCAGCAGACCCCCAAACCCAGTGTGGACTGTGGTGTTGGGGGAGAGGGAGTGCTTGTTTAAAGCTTATTCCCAAGAGTGTAATAAACCCTCACAATTTTGCCCTAACATCAATTGCCGAAAAGCCCATAAAGTTCTGGCCCCTGCTCCTAGCCCCTCTCCTAGTGACCAAGAGGAGGCAAGCCTGATGCTCTCATGCATTTCACTCTATCTGTGCAAATATGTCTTTGAAAGATGGTAGTTTCTGACAACCAGCAAAAGTCACTAAGAGCTCCAGTGGGTTCCAGAACTCGGACGGCTCATGACAGACAAATCTCCCTTTTCTCCCAGTGTGCCCTGGCCTGCTGTATTTAATTGTCAAACATTGTTGATCTGGGCCAGAGAACAAAGGAAGTGAGCTGGGGACAACAGTCTCCACTCACAGGCCCCACCACTGTGGAAGACCCAGACTCCGCAGACACCGTGGGTAGAAGCTGCCCTCCTGCTTGGTCATCTACGCTTATGATCTAAACAGCCACTGCGTGTGCTAGTGTGAGCCTGAGCGCCCCGGCAGCCTGCCACGGGCACCTCTAACTCACGTGCAGCCTTTGCAGCTGACAGCGGAGGTTGCCAGGAGCTCATCCCCCTCTCCCGACAGTTGGAACCGCTGCCACCTCCAGGTGAGAGTCCTGGGAATCTTTCAGAAGGTGAAGCAGAATCCAGACCATTATTCTTAAGTTGTGAAAGCTTGAGGGGGTGGAGTAGGGGTGGAGAAGGTTGTGGGGGTCACCAAACCCATGCTAGCTGCCCCTTCAATGCAGGGGAACTGACCGAGGGTCTGCAGAACTCCCAAGGGAACAGGACTAGTGCTCTGCAGCGTGAGTCCTGCCTCTGTACAAGACATGTGGACTTCTTGGCCTGTGGGTTCTCAGCTGCCTGTTCCCAAGCACTGTCACACAGCCAGGTTGTCTTTGGCCTTTCTCATCTTGGTTGCTCCACAGCTCCAAGGGCTCCCCTACCTCCCCTTCTAGGTGGGGTGGGGCTTCTTATTCAGTCCAAGGTCCAGATCTGAGCCTCCTCCTCAGGATGCCCACCCATTCTGGCCCTCACAGCCCCCAGTACTCCCATGTCTGTGATTTTTGCTTTCATCAGTAAACTCTACCTTGACCTGAGGTAGAGGCCTTCTTATACCTACCAGCCATTCCAGAGTGTCAGCCATAAGCCTCTGAGGGTGAAGGAAGGTCCTGGTCAACCAAGCGCCCTCAAGGCCTCTTGAGAGGCAAGCCACAGGGGATAGGGCTGGTTCTCAGAGGCAGGACCAGCCTCCGCCTTAACCTTGACCCCACCAAAGGCCTTGCTGACCCTTTAGACTTCAGTGTGGATAATAGTGCTTGTCCCAAGAATGTTAGGGGACTGAATGTCATCGTGCACACAGAATCCCCAGTCCACAAGGCCCTCCACATGGGAGGGCTCAGGGAGCATTACCTTTACCCCCTTTTCTAGGAAACAAGACTTTGGATTCCTGCCCAGCTGCCAGGAACTGCTAGCTGTGCCTGATTTCCTGTCTTCTCCAGCCCACAGCTAGTTGTTCCTCTCCACATGCCACCCTTAACATGGGATCCTGCCCCCGTCCTTGCCACCAAGTCTACCTTCCATGCATGGCCACTGGCTGGAGCCACTCAGACACATTCCATGTGTTAACCTGTCCACCAGCTTTTAGGCCTCCCTAATCTGGCCATTGCCAGCATGTCACTGGATACATTTATCTATCATCCTAGGAAACCAGTTCAGCCTTCTTTTGAGGGTGAGCCCCCTTCCCAGAAGGCCTTTCCACCACCTGGAGCCAACCCAGGCTCCCTCTGAAGCCAGTATCCCCTCCACACTGCCTCCAAGATGCAGGTGGTCTCCTGCTGAGAACTCAGCCCTTTGCAGAGGCCTCCAGGTATAGAGTCCTGCCTGATACTCCTGGCCCAGTGCAGACCCTCCCCACATTAGGATGTAGATAGTGCAGAACTTCTGTGCCCAGATGTACATGCCAAGCCTTACACTCTGCACGATGGTGCCGCACTCGCTCCAGCCAGCCGCCAGGAGCACGTGTGTGCTGTTACTCTCGCTCACGTTGCAGGAGGGGTGCCCCAGGTACAGGGAGGACTCAGGGATGGATTCCTGCCACAGGAAGCGCTTCTGGATGATGATGGCCACCTTTTCAATCTCACAGAGCACCCTGACCGCGTCAGTCAGGTTCAGCTGCTGGGGCAGCTCCTGGGAAACAGCCTGGGTGCCTGCTGGAGTGGGGAGCTGCTCTGTGCTGGAGGCTGGGGTCGCACTCCTGGAAGAGTCATCTGCAAGGCATGAGGAGACAGAGGAAGAGGGTAGGTCTGTGTTTGGGGACAGTGTGGAGGGACTTACAGCCGCCACACCTGGGAATCACTGTTTGAGCCTCAACCAAATATAGGCATGTGGTGTGGGGAACTGAAGGGCCCAACACAGGAAATGTGCCAACCTTGTGGACACAGGGCAAGTTGTCAGCCTCAGGCCCGAGTGTACTCTCTGAAATGAGTTGCTAATGTCTTCTGGCAGAATCCTTGTGTCCCTGGCTCCTGCTTTGACTTCCTTCTTGCCTCTGAAGCACACCCAGTTCCCACGTCTAGAAGAATGAGGAAGCGTGTCCAATGCCTATGCAGGTTTCCAGGGTGCTCCTCATCTAGTCCACAGGAAGTCAATCCCAGACATGACTCAGCAAGCTTCCTGCACTCTCCTCGTGGCTGGCTTCGTCCCCTGCTGGTGCTCGCCTTCTCTCTCCTTGGGACAGGGTCCACCCAGCACCCTATGACTTCATCCAACTCACTCATGTCTCTGGGATACAGTCCAGAGCACTGCTCCCACCTTCCTATCCTTTTCCATGGCCTCCCCACCTCTTTCAGCAGTCCATTTCCCACTCTTCCTCCCGCCTCCCCTGGCTCCTACTCTGTCCTCTCACCCAGCCACAACTCCTGCATGCCGCCTGGCCACACTTAGAGGACTTTGCAACCTAGTCTCTTCCATGTCTGCTACTTTTATCTCTAGCAGAGCACATTCCACACCCCTGTGACACTGTTTATTACAGACATCTCTGTGTCCCTCCACTGGATGGCATGAGTCACCTTGGGAGCAATGTTAAATCCACCAAGGGCCTGTTTAATGGGGGAAATGTAGAGGGAAGAGAATGACTGCTTTCCTATAGGCTGACGTTTTGCAAGATGGTCTTAGTATCTGAGCACGTACACCTCATTTACATGCATGTTTTCTCATCACTTACACCTCGTTTACATGCATATTTTCTCATCACATACACCTCGTTTACATGCATGTTTTCTCATCACAGACATCAGAACTAGGCTTGGAGACATAAGACACGACCCACAAGTCTGCACATAGATAAAAGGATGGCAAGTGAGGACAGGAGGTGGCACAGTGGTGACGTGACTCAAGCCAGATGGGAAAGGTCATGGGCTCACGTGTGGACCTGAGTTCACTGGGCATGCATGTGTCTGTGATCTGGCCTGCTGAGACTATGTGGATCATGATGTCAAGGCCCTGCTGTGGGTGCCTGTCTCCCTCTCTAGCTCCCTTTCTCTCTCTCTCTCTTTCTCTATCTCTCCCTCTCTCTCTTTCTCTATCTCTCTCTCATAGAAAAAAAACACATATATCAACTTTTAAAAAAGAATGAGAAGGGCCACGCACATGTTCATGCACACATGCATACACATACATCATCTGTACATGTACTACACATACCTTATTACACACATTTGCACATAAAGACACCATACACACACATATATTCACTGTGTGCACACACATACTTAAATATATATACCACACATGCATGCACACACACACACACCACATATGCCACAAACACGGCATGTACATACCACATATGTTCATGCACATGCACTGCATACACATATTACACTATATGAACATGAAAACACACACCACAAACACATGTGTGCACAGACCACACACCTGTGCACACATGTACACTGCACACACATGCACTACACACATGCCCACAGGGTGGGCTCATGACATATAAATAGGCTGACTTCATTTGGGCAAGAAGCCCTTGCAAATAAATGACACTAAAAGAACAGGTTACGGGACAGTATTCCATGAAAGGATAATGAGGTCATTACCTTTGCAGGGTCTTCCAGAATATTCTACTTGGAAGTCTGAGGCTCCTCCTGCACAGATGCAGATGAAAGACCCCAGGGTGTTTCGGCAGGATGTCCCCGGCACACAGTCGTCCTCTTTCCTTTCACACTCATCGTAATCTGCACGTTTAGGCAAAACAGAATATATACATACCTTAATACACACACACACACACACACACACACACACATACCATACACATACATATATTCACTGTGTGCACACACATACTTATATATATGTACCACACATGCATGCACACACACATACATCACATTATATCACAAACACGGCATGCACCCACCAAACATGTTCACACACATGTCTCACTGGGGGCCTGTGCCATGATGGGGTGGTTTGCACACGGCCTACAGGAAAAGTGCATTTCTGGAGGCAAAACTGAGAACCACACACTGAACTCAGACCATAGTGATGATGGCCAGCTCAGGAGCATTCAGCAGATGCAGCTGGGGCTTGGCTGGGGCTGAGCTAGGAAGCTGGGGTTGGGACAACTGCAGGGGCTGGTCCAGAAGGAACTGGTCTGGGCTAGAATGGGGTGCTACAGGGGCAGGGTCATCCCTTCAGTTCCTGGAGCATCTGAGAGAAGAGCAGTTCCCAAGTCCACCCCAGACCAGGCGAAGGCACCCAGCCTGCAGGACCACCCCAGGAAGAAGGCCTGCTCAACACCTCCCTTTGAACATTGTGCTCAGTCTCCCAGCTTATTACAATGATGCAGGTTTACTGCAGAAAGCAGGTAAAAACCAGAAAGCACAGCGAGGACCATGAACTCCACCCCTAAAGCTATCACTTGTGTTAGTATTTGATGTTGTTAGATTGAAGTTTTTAAAACATAGACCATACAATAACTAAGAGCAAATCCTGTTCTTTCCTTGCCCTATGTCACCCATTCTTTCCCTCTCACAGCCTGCTTCTCATAATTGCACAACACGCCACGGCACAAATACACCAGAACTTCATACCTTCCCTATTATGGGACTATCAGTTATTTCCACAATAATACTGTCCCTCTCTGAATATATTTGTATGTAACTGTGGTCCAGACTGAGATCTATTTCCTTACAATAGAGTCCTAGAAGTGACGCTCTTAACTCAAAGGCATGCCAAGCAGACTTGCAGGAAGTGCGAGTTCTATTCCCACCAGCAACCTGTAGATGTCCCTGCCTCACTACACTTCCATCAGTGTTAGAGTTACTATAAAAAGATTGGGGGGTGGGGGTGGGCAGCAGATGACACGGAGGTTATGGCAGCTAGGTCCTATATGGCCAATTGCATGATTCAAGTCCTGGACCCGGTGACTTGAAAAACATGCCAGGCACCTATGCATGCATACCCCAAATCCCAAGGGGAGTATAGAGGAGAAGGGATTGTGGTGTGGCCATCCCCTGTGAGGGATGATTTTTCCCCTTCCGTCTCTAATGGCTTGATGGGCAAAAAGAGCATTCATCTTAATGGGAATGTCTTTGATTATCACATTTTTGTGAGTTATCTGTATCTCTTCTTTTATATATTATCTATTTGGGCCTTTTGTGTATTTACCTATCAGGTCCCCAGTATTTATCATCTACTTCTAGTTGGGCTATTAGTTATTCACTAAATTATTAAGAGCATTTTTGTTTGTTGCTTGCTTTATACTGGTGCCTTTATTTTGTTTCACATAAAAGATTTACATTTTTATGTAGCCAAGCATTTTCCTCTGAAAATCTGATTTTCTTTGGGAAATTATCCTTATTTCAGAAATCAGAAATAAGGGACCAGCAGTTAGCGTAATGGCTATGTCGCTGGACTCCCACGTAGTCGACCGTGGTTCGCGTCCCGGACCCGGTGGCTTAAAACTCACGCCGGGCGCGTGTGCGTGCGTGCCCAAGATCCCGAGAGGAGAATGGAGGAGAAGGGATTGTGGCGTGACCATCCCCCCTGGGGGTGATTTCTCGTTTTCTATCTCTTTGTCTCTCTCTGTCTGTCTAGCGAGTGCACACGCCCTATAGCAAAAACCTCCTTAAAAAAAAAGTAAAAAAAAAAAAAGTAAAAAAAAAAAAGAAATCAGAAATAAGAATCTTCTATTTAAAAAGTTTCTATTTTTTCATACATGTAACTATAAGCCATTCATCGTTTATTTTTCAGAACTGATATGAGAAAATCATCTAAATTGCCTTTTTCTCCCTCTTTTTCAATTATATTTACTAGGTTCTCCTTGGAAGTTGTACTTGGGAAAGTCTGACCACAGAGGGACAGGCCTGCTCTGAGCCCACCAAAGTGGGCAAGGGGGAACCGCCCCAAAGAGGTGTGGCATCCCTGGGAATCTTCGCGGGTTAATTTGAAGATGTTTTTAAACCCTTCAACCTTTACAAAAGAAATCACAGTAACAGAGAGAGAGAAGTGGCCTATTTCCCATTGTCATCTAATTCCAGGGAAACTCCTAAGAGGAGGTACATGGACAGCATCTTTCAGAAACAAACAGAGGAGTCTTGTGGCTCCCTTTTCTGGTCCATGAGCGAGGTGTCTGAGGGCCCAGCCTCTGCATACCCCGTATGAAGGTGTCGTCTCTGACCACCTCCAGCAGAGAGGCATTCTGGAGGGCAGCGAGCACGGCAGCAGATACCTCCCTGACGTCCACCTCTGCAGATATCAGCAAGTCAAACGCCACTACAATGCTGCCATTGGTGATGCTGCTGACCTCCATCCTGATCCCGCCGGTGTCCATGTGCCGACGCAGGGTGGCTGGCAGAGAGTCCTGCACCTGGAGAGACAGTGTGTGGGGAGAGCTGCCCATTCAGAAGAATGGGTGCTCGTTCGGAGGTGGCTCCTCCTGGGATTCTGTTCAGCATGGGGCTGGCCCTTGACAAAAAGGAAAAAAGTCATAGAGGGGTTGAGACCTCTCAGTCTTCTATGTTCCCAAACCCAGCACAAACACCTGGGAGTATCTGACAGACTGAGAAGAGTTCTTGTGTTCCGCAACAAGCAAACAGTTACAGAAAAATGTCCATGAGTCGAGCATGGGGCTAGGTGCACAGGGCAGGGCTCTTAACTTGCCAGGGCTCATGTGACACTCATGATCTGCTACTCTTTGCACAGAGCAATGGAGGACAGGGGGCTGAGTGAGCAGTCATGAGTACAGAGGCCACCTCTCACCATTTCTTTTTTTGAGAGCAATCTTTTTTGCTCTAGGAACTACAGAACATTCTCTCTTTCTTTCCTCCCACTTCCCATGAGCACCTGCAAACCCCTTTGAGGACAGGCAGTTCCCATGTCTAGGAGCCTTGCTAGTGTATTCTGTCACTCACTCTGGCCAGAATCGCATGTCAGACTCAGTTACCCCATCCCAGCCCATCATGGTCAAAAGGCCCAGGAAGTCCTGCAGTCTGACAATCAGCAGCCCATACACTGCACATCTTCTATGGAAGGCGCATTTCCAGACTCGTCCTCACAGAGAAAGCCGTGAGATGCTCAGGCTCAGGCTCAGGCTCAGGCTCGTAGGCCCACTCCCTGCTTCTGGACCACCCACAACAGGCAAATCCATTGCCAACCCCCAGATGTTGGAGAGCCCCAGAGAGTTCCCAGATACCTCTGGGACCTCAGATGGCTGCGGTCATTGCCATCTGAACAATCAGCTGTCCTCTCTGTTTTGTTCTCTTTCTCTCTTTCTGCCTCTCTCTTTCTCTCTCTCTCCCTGGGGAGGATCTGCCACAGGCTTAGACCAATGTCACTTTTAATTGTATTAAAAGTATATCAAACCAGTCTTGAAGCAACATTCTAGACCCCTTGCTAGGGAGTGACAAAGAGCCATGTGCAGCACTAACCCTTCACCTCCCCAAATGTGTCTTTGCATCCTACTCACTTAAGTTGCACACTTATTTGCTGTCTGAGATTCTAAACAAACAAAAACAACTATACCCCAAACAGAAAAAAAAAACAGTTTATAGAGGAAAGATTACTCAAGAAACTTGGGTGAAAATAGAGCTGCCTCATTGGCCGCTAGAGCAATGTGGAAGGATTTCCATGTTCATTGCTTAATATAGGCAAATAAATTTAACCTACAAAAGGTAGTGGAGCATATTGCCAGTCAAACCATCAACAACTCTTGAGTTCACAGACTGGGAAACCCCAGAATAAATAAGGCAGGACCCCAGTTTCCAAAGATCTCCAATGGGGTGGTTCCTGGGGGTAGCAAGATCCATTCTATCCATGAATAGGGTCTATAGGATTAAAGGGAATCAACCCTCTAGCAGGGCTTTGCTGAGGTGTCATCTTGTTGTCACACCTGCCACACGGTGGCGCTGTCAACCCCTCTCCATTCTGTGTTTTACATCTGAAGCTCCCCGAAGGGAAAATCTAAGATGCAAAATTTCCACTATGCAAACAAGATCACTAGATTATGACAAGTGCGTTCTATCTACCATAAAAGTAATCTAACCACATTACAAAGAATACTTGTTACTACTTTATAACAATATGCCACTCCAAAGAATGCTCAGGGAATGGCAAGAAGGAAGCACAAATGAGTAGGAAAAAAAATTTAAGTCTGCCTATCGTCACAACATTATTCATAACAGGCAAAAATGAAAGCAACTCAAATGTCCATCAGCGAATGAACAGATGAACAAGACGTGGTGAACTCATGCAATGGCATGGTATAAAGTCATACAAAAAATGAAATACTGATACATGCTACAACATGGGTGACACTTGGACACATTACTTTAAGTGAAAGAGGCCCAAAATAAAAGGTCTCATAGTGTACAGTCTTATTTCTATGAAACATCCAAATCAGGCAAATCTACAGAAATTCAACAGATCAGTGGTTGGCAGAGACTGGGGGAGGGCCTACGAGGAAGCAACAACTGCAGGGTGCAGGATTTCTTTTGTGGGTAATGACAATGATCTGGATTTAGATGGGAGTGATCATTGAACAATTTGCAAAAAGTCTAAACCACTGAATTGTACACTTTAAGGGTGTGAATCTTACGTTACGTGAAATAGATCTTGATTTTTAATTTTTCTTTTTTTTAAAAGCTTGGCAGGAGCTTTCTGCTCCACAAGGTCCCACTATCAATAAAGAAGTTTCGCTGAATAGAAAACAGTGTGAACCAAGGATGCCGCAGAAGAGAAGGAGGGCTTCCTGTCAGCTGCTGTGTCTGAGCGGGGCAGATTCAGGGTCACTCAGAAAGTGGGAAGTCCCAGCTGCCTGCCACCAGGACCAGTCCATAGGACATGCATGTGTGATACCTGCTTGGATGAGACTAGAATTCCATTTGCCCCTATCCTTTACCTTCCCAAGGAAATAAGCATGGATTTCACCAACTTACCATCCTGAAGAAGAGTTTCAGAAACTCTTGATAATTCTTGCTGCTTGTGTTGTGGAAAGATTCTGAATACCTAATGTTTGCTATCCGGACTTGCCCTCTGAGCTTCTGGGCAGCTGCAGGGTAGAGAATAAATATGTTCAGAATGGCAACATATCTTGCAATAGACCATCATTTAGATATATTTTTTTAATTGTCAGTGACACATGCACTTGCCAGAGAGAGAGAGATGGACAGACAGAGAGGAGGAAAAGAAAGAACCCATACCATTGAGGTGGGGCATGCTGAAACTTCTTCTCTTCCATTTCTCTTGCCTATCAGGATTTGAGGTATGCATGCACACTCACCCAGCATGTTTTTCAAATCATCAGGGCCAGGATTTGCATCACAGTCAGCCATGTAGAATCTGGCTCCTTTAACAACTAGGTCACAGGCTAGCCCCATTCAGTCTTCATAATCACATTTTCATATTGCCCAGAAAGAACATCAAGTCAAGGCTGGCCTGCACTCCAGAAAAAGAAATGGTGTCCAGTGCTCATAGACACAGTCCACCAGACTCCAGAGGGCATAGGGCAAGCCTAGGCACAGAAGGAGAACCTTCCAAAAGCATCTCAGGCCCTGTAACTCTCTCCTGATTCAGCCTCTCTCCCTCACTGACGTGACCATTGTGAAGGAGTTCAGGAATTTACCAGCAAGCCAGGACAACTTTAAGAGTGAAGGTGCAGGGGGCACAACAAGTGGCATAGAGGTTACAGTGCTGGTTTCCCACATGGCTGACCACAACTCAAGTCCTGGACCCAGAAAAATCACACCAGACGTGTGTGCATGTGTGCCCAAAATCCCAAGAGGAGAATGGAAGAGAAGGGATTGTGGCATGGCCATCCCCCTGGAGAATGATCTCTCCCTTTTCCTCTCTCTGGAGAATACATGTACCCTATGAGCAAAAAAGAAAAAGAAAAAGTGAAAGGGAACATATTCAATAACTTTTGCCAGGGCTTCATTCGTAAACCAGACTGTTCCAGGCAAACCAGGACACAGGGCTGCCTCACCACTCAGAACCCACAGCACAACCAGTGCCAAGGGTCTTCTTCCTCCCCGATGTCTCACCTTTTTGCATCTAAGGACAGTTCCTTGGTTTTTTTTTTTGTTTGTTTATTTTTGTTTTTGTTTTGGAGAGGATTTTGCTATAGGGCACGTGGCGCTCGCCAAACAGACAGAGAGAGACAGAGAGACAGAAAGCAAGAAATCACCCCGCAGGGGGGATAGCCACACCGCAATCCCTTCTCCTCCATTCTCTTCTCGGGATCTTGGGCACGCACGCACACGCGCCCGGCGTGAGTTTAAGCCACCGGTCCAGGATTCGAACCGTGGTCGACTACGTGGGAGTCCAGCAACATAGCCATTACGCTAACTGCTGGTCCCAGGACAGTCCCTTGTAATCTAAGGAAGCTCCTGCTTTGGCCCAGATCCGTTCCAGCTGCATTTTTTCTCCCATGCACATAGAGCTTCTAGGATTGTGTGGGATGGGAATATGGTTTAGGAATATCGCTGGCTGCATCCTGGCCAGCAGCCATCTCTGGTCACAGTCAGTCCTTCACCAAATATTTGTCAAGCACAAGCTACATGCCAGGGTCATGCTGGTGAGTAGGACAAAGTCAAGCTTCCTCTCTCAGGGGATGAGTCTGTCCCTTGAGAGCGTCTCACTCAGACTTAACATAAATCCCACTCACATTGCTGGGTGAACCCCAACCCCATGTCCTTGCGCTCACTGCTGCAGTGGCACTGGAAGGCCATAAGCCCAGAATCACAACAACTAGTGCGTGCAACCTGATGGAACAGCAGGACAGGGAGCAGTGAGACCACATATAGACCTGTTTGCCACTCCCTCTGGCCCCAGAGTGAGAGACCTTCAGGTGTCAGAATGGGCTCAGCCCTGGCTCTTGGACCCAAGGCCATCCTGCCTAACTGTCCAGCCAGTGCTGACTGCCCTGTTCTCCAGCTGGCCTTGAACTTGCATTATTGTCATCACACAGTGTTTTTTTCTCTCACTTTCAATTCAAGCTTAATTAATGTTTCAAAGTACCTACATGCATAAATAAACAAATATTTCTAAAATTTTCTTTCACACCTCAGTAGGTCATCTTAGGCATTCCCTATGAAGTACATACCCTGCTCTAGAGACCACTACCCTATCCACACCTGGGAAGCTGCCCAAGATTCAAAGACTGTCCTGTAACATCTGACACACCCCTAACATTTCAGGTAAGGCATACATTCAAGAAAATAGATCGCAGGTGCTAACAAGGAGAAAAGAGTATCATCAAGGCTCAGATGCAACCTGTCAGAGTGCACGTGTGATGTACTGCCACTTAGTTCTACTACTGTCCTGCTACTTGGACGCCCCAGGTGTGCCACTTGAAGATTATCTGTCCACCTGTCTACCGCTGTCTGTTCTGAAAGCCGAATCCACCAGGAGTGAAGAGCTGGAGGAAACTGATGCAGTCCAATAGATGAGCACCACATAGCTCCATGCACAGACCATGCGGACATGGAGGAATAGCGTCTGCAGCCTCTGCAAGTAGGTCTGGAGCAGACTGCAACCTGGTCTCTCTGCCCACCACTTCCCCAGCTTGTGCCCCTGAAATGAGCCACCCTGTGTCTGGCTGCTGCACACCCACCAAGCATGAAGTGGGGTGACTCTGGGGTTTGTCCTAAGCCTAAGTGAGAAGCACAAAGGGACACAGGTATTCCTATACCTAGAGAAAAATGGACACCCAGCAGTCCGAAGAGAAATTCAGCTATTTCCACCCTTAACCTTTCAAAGTTCTTTGCATGCTGTTGTTTTCCTCCCTTTAAGAGCAGCTGACAACACACATCTCTGAAGTGCTTACCTGTCCTCACTTTCAGGTGTGCTCTGCCGACTTCTTTTCCACATGCTTTGGCCACAATCTCAACCAGATGCAAGACTCCAGGCTCCAGCCTTGAGAGGGTCACACTTGTGTTCTGGGTCTCTAGGCCCAGGGTCACACTCGTGTTCTGGGTCTCTAGACCCATGGTGGGGCTCCGTGAAGAAGTCAAGGTGAGCTGGAAGGTGGGGGGCAGGGCGCCACCTGCCACCCATGCCAGGTGGAAGCTGGTACTAGTCACATTGGAGACTGTGATCTTTCCAATGGAGACTGGACCTGGGAGGCAGGATGTGAACACTGAAATTAAGATCAATTGAGCCCCCAAAGAGAAAGAAAGAGAAGGCCTGTCCAGTGCTGAAGATCCAGTAAATACACCATATGGAGGCATGAGAAGTCTGTGGGTGAGGCCAGCTGAGGCAAGTCCTGTGATGCCCCTTGCTGTAACAGCACACACATCGGTAGGGCCCTTGTGTGAACCACCCTTGTGTGAACCACCGAGGATGGCTCTCTGCCCCTTGACATGATGGTTAAAGGTTTCTGGCTTAAGCACACCTCTGAGGAAACTGGATTTCTCAAAATAATGTCCTCTTGAGCAGACTCTATGTGGCTCCTCAGAGAGGATGTTTGCCCCTGATCCTTGGGTGAACTCAAGGAGGGGTCAACATGGATGACAATGCTGGATGGAGACCTCAGGCTACTAAAAACTGCCTTAAGAGTTGTGTCTTGGAGCTCACACTGTGTGGCAGAGGGAAGGCACTGATAGAGCCCCTTTTGACAGGAAGGCAGTGTGAGGTGAGCTCTGTGAGCTTGCAGCCGGCATGGCACTATGAGGCTGTCACAGCCCAGGCCTGTCTTCTGAACGGCCAGGTGCTGCACATACCCTGAGGTGTCTGAGAGCTTGATGATGGCTAAACTCTCTGTGCATGATGAAGCTGCTGAAGGTTGCAGCACAGCTAGGGTAGGATACAAGATGGCTTGAGGTGTGACACAGCTGGGAAGTTACAGAACTACTGGGAGGTGTGGACCATCTAGAGATGCAAATGAGGTATTTTTCTGTTTATAGAAATTTATATCATGGTGATAGCTTATCTACCTGGGACACAGAGTAATTGGGCAACAGCTGTACCTGAGTTATGATAAGCCAGAACTCTTAATACTTTCACTGGTTAGATTGTTTCACTTCAGCTGAGGGTGCAAAACAACTGGGGTGCAGAACATCCAGGGATGCAGAACAACTGGGGAGCTGAACAGCCGGGGTTGCAGAACAACTGGGTAGAGAACAACTGGGGTGCCAAACAGCCAGAGATGCAGAACAACTGGGGTGCTGAACAGCCAGGGGTGCAGAATAGCTGGGGTGAAAAATAGCTGGGGGTGTTAGCCAAGGGTGCAGAACAATGGGGGTGCAGAACAGCTGAGGGTGCAGAACTATTCAAAGTACAGAACAGCTGTGGGTGCACAACTACTAGGAGTACAAAACAGCTTGGGGTGAAGAACAGCTGGGGTGCAGAACTACTAGGAGTGCAAAACAGCTGAGGGTGCAGAACAACTGGGGTGCAGAACTAGTAGGAGTGCAGAACAGCTGGGGTTTCAGAACAGCTGAGGGTGCAAAACAGCTGGGGATGTAGAGCAGTTGGGAGTGCAGACAAGCGAGGGATGCAGAACAGCTGAGGGTGCAGAACAGCTCGGAGTGCAGAACCACTATGAGTGCAGAACAGCTGGGTGTGCAGAACAATTGGGTGCAGAACAACTGGTTGTGCAAAACAGCTAGGGGTGCAGAACTTGGGTTCAGAAAAGCTGATGGTGCAGAACAGCTGGGTGTGCAGGACAACTGGGGTGCAGAACAACTGGATGTGCAAAACAGCTAGGGGTGCAGAACTTGGGTTCAGAAGAGCTGATGGTGCAGAACAGCTGGGTGTGCAGAACAACTGGGGTGCAGAACAACTGGATGTGCAAAACAGCTAGGGGTGCAGAACTTGGGTTCAGAAGAGCTGATGGTGCAGAACAGCTGGGTGTGCAAAACAGCTAGGGGTGCAGAACTTGGGTCCAGAAGAGCTAACGGTGCAGAACAGCTGGGGGAGCACAGGCCAGAAGTCACAGGGTTGTAGGGTGGTATTACATGTTAGGCTGCAGCAGGCTGGGATTACAGCTCTGTGGGGTTGCAGAGCTGTGGGGATAGTCAGAGACACAGACACCACAGACACTCTTCCTAGAGCCCAGCTTCCACCTCTCTGCTGCCAACAGGGAGCTTACAAGATGGGGAGGCGAAGGCTGGAGAGAAGCAAGGGACCAGGCTCTTGTCCTAACTAGACCAGACACCAATGGCCAGGACAGGTTGCTGTGCACCTGGGCTTCCTGGTGCACAGGTGAGAAAGTTCACTGTACACTTCCAACAGGCCTTTGACCCCACTGTGTAAGCTTCTCCTCTGGGGCTGTGCAGGCTGTGTAGCCTCCATCAGGGTTCCAGTCCTCCACATGCACCATTCACATACTCACCACAGGTCGGGGTCTGCAGAGCCATGGGAGTGTGGGCTGATGACAGGTCCGGGAAGTGCGAGGGCCCAGTGTCCTCCTTCTGTATCCAGGTGGGGTTCAGAGGTCTTTCCTGTGTGGATAGGCTGACATGCCCTGTGGGGTCCTGGGTAGTGAAGGGCAAGGAGTATGGCTCCGTAGTAGACTTTCTTAGAAGCTGTTCGTGATGATCCAGCAGGCCTTCTGTGGCCCTAGGAGGGGAGCTGTGGGTCGGCCTGAAAGCTCTGGGGGAAGAGGTGGTGCTGGCTGCCTGGCTAGTGTTCCACAGATCCATCCCTGAGCCTGGGGCCGTGCTGGGCACCATCTCCTTCACACCTTGCTCTGTGCTGCTCCTGCTGGGCCCACCCACGTCACTGTCCCCTTGCCTGGGTGGGGACACCAGGGTCCAGGCCTGGTCAGTTGCCTGGGTGCTCCATGGGCTCCAGGGGCTGGGTGCCAAGGTGGGCATCTCCAAGTCAAGGGCTGTTGTTCCTGTGCTGAGAGCCAGAGACATGACCCCAGTCTCCACAGACGGCATACTCTCCGTGGGGCTCACCATATCACCTGCCAAGACACACCCAGACAGAGTGCTGGTCCAGATGTCTAAGCAGAGCCCATCAGATCCCACCCTCCTGGAGGACAACACAGCCACCCAACAGGCCTGCTTCTGCCTTCCTGGACATGGGCTATCTCAGTTGGCATTTATGAGAGCTTACTGGGGCTTATGTGTGCAGGCACCCTGGCACTCTCAGAAAACAAGGGGACCTCTTCATTTGACATAAGAGGAAACTGAGACCCTGAGAGTAAGGGACCCATCCAAGGGCTGCAGAGTCAGGACTTGAGTACAGGACTTGGTTTTCAGGGCCTTAGGTTCCTGCATCAAGGAACTGGGGAAACAGGACATTTTCTCCCAGATTTGTGCTCAGGGTGGGACTTGGTGCTGGCTGCTCTCTCTGGTTTGTTGTACTTTAGATGAAGAAGCAGAAAATAGGAGGAAAGCGGCAGGGGTGTCAGGAAGCAGGCCAATACCTGCATAGTTTAAGAAATACCCTCCCCAGGGACCATGTCTCTCCTGCTCCTTCCAGCTAGCAAGGCTTGACAGGGATATAGGCAGGTTCTAAACACTTTGCCCATGCCTATAACCAGGGCAGACATTACTAATAAATCATAGCATTTAAGTTTACATGTGACCCCTTCCTGCTCCTTGATTTAGCATCCTGGGTAGGCCCAGCCATCAGAACTGGGCAAAACGACAGGGGAAGAGACGTGGCAGAACTGTGACTCAGGAGGTCCCCATCGGGCCCTGTTCCAGCTCATCTAGACTTCTACACCCTCTGGAGCTTGAGGTGACCTGGGGAAGGAGCCACCTCCCAGGGCCACTTCATGACTTCTGTGTCCCCAAGGAACTTAGATCCCTTCACAAAAAAATGTATTAAGAAGTATATTTTACAACTGCACTGGGATACAGATGAGTAAAATCCAGATTGGTTCTATTGTTACATATGAAAGGACTTTTAGAAGTTTGTGGAAAATAGAATTAAAGTACAGACTTATTTCCTGAAAAAAAAAAATCTATGCATGGTTTTTTCATACTATACTTTTTCCATGAACATTTTGAAGACCACCTTGTAAATATATTTACTATTATTATATAAATTTAGTTCATCTAATTTTAAATAAATATTTTAAAAATATGCCAGATGTACGTACACTTGGCAAAGAAAGAGAGGTGTGGTCATGCTCCAGTCCCTTTTTCTCCACCTCTCCATCCTGCAGAGATGTTGGGCATGAACACACTTCCACCCAGCATGTTTTTCAAGCCACTGGGGCCAGGATCCGAATTGTGCAGTCACCTATGTGGGACTATGTAGTTAAGCTCCCTTAACCACTAGACCACAGGGCTGGCCCTTTCTGATTTTAAACTAAAGCATTTCCATGGGCCCCTGTCATTATCATGGGTCCTCTGCCTGCACCTGATGAAGAGGTTGACCCTGCCCTACCCCAGGTGCCCATGGAGAGGGCTGCCCCATAGCTGGGCGGAGGGCACTCACCCTCACAGGCCCGGCCTGGCCGGGAGGGGTTGGCATCCCTGGCTGTGCGGCACTGGCAGGTGTAGGAGCCCTCGAGGTTGATGCACTGGGCGACTGGCGAGCAGTCATGTTCCAAGCTGTCCGAACATTCATCCCAGTCTGCAGAGGGAAAGACAAGGCAGAGGTGAGAATGTCCAGAGCCTGATCAGAAAGCAGAACAGCACTGGAACAGAGATCTTCCTGACCCGAGCAGAGGGCCTTTGCGGGAATCTGTGGGTCCAGCATCCTGGGAAAGAGGTCCTGCACTGGATCCCTTCCTGGAAGCCTGACCTTGAACTGAGGTGACCAGCTGACAGCCTGCCTGCACCAGCCTTCACCATCCATTAACTTATGTGGGCAAGATTAGGGAGGTGGTGTTAGCACCCACAGGTGTGTGTACATTCCTCTCATTCCTCTAGTGTCTATTCTTTGTCCTCATCATTTGACTATTTATTTTTACTATTTATTTATTTATTTTTAGAGGGTCCCCCCCATAGGTCACGTTCATTTGCCAGAGAGAGAGATAGAGAGAGAGACCATAACAGTGAGAGGGAAAGTGAGGAATCACCTCCCAGAGGGAATGGCCATGCTGCAATTCCTTCTCCTCCATCCTCCTCCTGGGATCTTGGGCATGAACACACACGTGCCTGGTGCCATTTTCTTTGCTACCAAACCCAAAAGGTAAGATGACTTTTTCCTCTCTTCAATGTGCCAACATCCCCTAATACTTAGTGTTTCAACTAGTGACAGAAAAATAACTGAGGCAGGAAGGGCCCAGTTAAGCACAATATGAACTGTCTATGCCATTTTAGAGAATCCAGGTGTTTCAAGAGGTATAGGAAACAGCCTTTGAGGACCTCCTTCCTGTGCACCAAAGACCCCATATGATGTCATGTCACACAGAAGCCCAGGTCCTTATGATTTGGCCAAAAAGGGGTATTCAGAATGCTCATCTCCTCAATTTCCCAAAGCCCCCAGTCCTCACTCATCCTACCAGCACCCACTCCCTGACCTGTACACAAATGAGCCCCACATCTCTCCATCAGCAGTCAGTCAGGACTAGTGTTAGGCCAAGCTTTAAGTCATTAATCAGAACCCCATTCCTTTCTCATTCTCCTGTCTCTTTGTCTCCTCTCCTATGGTCTTTCTGGTGACTGGGAGACCAACCCAACCCCAGGAAAGAATCTGATGGTCATATGAACAGTAGGCATGAATGTAACCTTAAGGAATAGGTATCTCAGGCTGTGCTTTAGGCTGGGAAGAGTGGCATGAAGGCCACAACCTTATACTTCCATCCTTTGGTCCAGACCTAGCCCTGAGAGTCACTGTTGCTCTCCTGCAGGGAAGCCACTGGGATGCAAGGTTGAGAAGATGCCCCTGGGGTGGGACTTGCTGGATGGGAGGACTTTGAATGGAACCTCCTCTACCAGAGGGGCTAAGTGGGCCAAGAATGGTGTAGGTCCTGGGTGATAGTGGCAGTGGGGGTGGGGGGCAAGGCAGAAGTAGGGTGGTGATCAGGTCCTCCAAAGAAACAGGTGAGCAGAGTACAGCCATCCTGCAATGCTTGGGCCCTGTCCACAAGACTCAGTGAGCTCCTGTTCCTTCCCCCCCATGAGCCCTCCAGCCTCTTCTTAGTCAGCATTCTGGTCATGTGACAGCACAGAGGTGGCATTCAGGGGGGAACATGTGCCACCCTGGACATTGCGGAAATGGGAAGGGAGATGCAGGTGAGCTCAGTGTGCAATGACCACACGGGGCCTCTGGTTTTAGTGGACAGACATAGAATGAGGTTTGTATTTCCTTTACCCTTTGGAATAAATGAAAAACTGGCTCAAAATAAAGAGGTCTATCCTACCTTTGAGTTGGAGGGGCATCATGGCAGCACTGCTGTGTCAGGGAGCACCTACCTCGCACAAGTGTCCCCTGCTGGTCAATCTGGAACGCCGTGCTTGCCCACAAGTGTGGGAGCATAGCGGACAGTGTGGAGACTCCCACTGGAAGCTCAGGATCTTGCACCGTGAGTCTCAGCTTCACGACCACACTTCCTGCCTGGAGAGACATGATCTTCATCCTTAGCTTCCCACTTCTGTGCAGGTCAGAAACCATGGATGGGAGGGAGTTCTCAACCTGGCCAAGAAGAAGCAACAGCCACTCAGAACAGATATCTCCACTGACATCTTCAAATCCATGAAGTGGGGCCCAGGTATGGCCTATAGATGGTGCCTAGATGCCATTGCTCCGCTCTGTGACTAAGAGGAGCAGCAAACTCTCAGGGCAAGCTGATGCCTTCCAAGCTCACGGCAGTCCTATCAGGCTTTCCCTGGGAGAGATGGGCTTGGCCAGCCTGTGTTGAGAACTCACAATGACAATAAAACTTAGCCTCTGGCTATGGAGCAGATGAACCATCTGCTATAGATGTCCTGAAATTGGTTGAAGGGTATTTGTCTAGATGTGAGAAAGACAGAGACTATTGGACTCCCTGGGTCAATGGACTGAGGGTTGACCAAGAGAGCACTCAAGAACAATCCCCAAGGTTTTGGGGAGCTGTCACCTCTCCTTACTGGGCTGTACCCCCCAGAAAACACACAGATGTGGCCAGTTGTCCAAGCCCAAGCAAGGGAGACATGAGCCTCACTCTGTCTTCTTGTACCTACATGTGAATTGACCTTGGAAAAGAAAGGGAATTCTCTAAGAACTCTCAAAAACTGATCCCTCCTGCAGGTAAATGTTGGGAGGTGACCCTCCATGACTCCCTTACATCTGTACACCTCTTACACTTAGAAGCACTAACTACCCTTCTGTTCCATAATATGTTTCCAAAGATTTCTTAGGAGATAGAGGCCTTCTCAAGAGCAAAAGGCAAGTTTGTCTACTGTCTGCTATAACAAGGAGAGTTTCCCCCTCTGAAGCAGAGTTTGTATGCAGCCCATTGTAAAAGACCTAGGTTTCCTAAGCTTGGGGATCCTCAGCTGTGACACTGACTCTCTTTGTGTCACCATCTACCTGGGTCCCTTCCCATCAATTCTTGAGAGTTGGGGGACGGTGCTCACACCAACATAAAGATCTTACCACCTACTGTGTTCAGAGTAAAACAGTTCTTTGTTTCTGACCTAGGGATCTTGTGTATCCTGCAAGCATCCATGAAACTTTGGCAGGCTGACTTCTCAGGGTACAAGTAGGGTAAAATCTTGGACCTTTTAAAATTCTTAGAAGTTTAGGAAATTGGTTTTTCCAACAACTCACCATCCACATATAGATAGTATTTTAACAGACTTCATTCTTCTAGGCTAGGAGCTAATGTCTCCCTTTAGCCACAAGGGAAGAATGGATGCTGCTATCATTCAAATATGTCACCTAAAATTCATGTGTTGAGCCACCACAATGGGATTAAAAGGGTGAAAATTTTATCAAATCAAGGTGTGGAAAGCTACTGCTTTTAGGAAGAGATTAGTGACTGGGTGTTTAGGGTGGGGCCCTATGACCGAGTCCTGGCGAGTTTGTTAGGAAATGAAATGAGGCAGGCAGGGGCACACATTTCCCATGTTGTGATCCAGCCCCACTCAAGAAGACCACCTGGATGTTAGACCTCCAAACCTCTAGTTTTATAAATCACTCAGTTTCAGGTATGTCCTGTTACTAGCAAAGAGCAGACTGGAGCAAATACTATGATCATTGGTAAATACTTCATTAATGAAGCTCTACCAAAGCAGGAAGACAGAGCTCCCCCAAATCTCCCAGACAGATGGC